GGGGGGCGGGGGGGGTGTAACAGCGGCAGACAGAGAAGGATGAGGGATCAGTGTGTGTGTTTATGAGACTGGCACACAGCCAACAGATGAGACACAACTGTAAATTGATACATTTCCACATTATTAGACTCATTTGTGAAAGTCTATACAATATACATGTTCAAACTTTACATCTCAGCTTACATTGCTTCCTTTAGGTTGACTGTCTCTAGGGCTTTAAGAGACCCTTTCTGAACCTACAAGAGGAAACTAAAGATACATTGTATGTGAATCACAAACAACACTGTTTTACTCAGGTGACACTAGGTGACATAGGCAGTACAAGGTTTTCATTCAACAGTAGCAATATGTTTGATGTATATTCCTCTCTCGTGTACATTTTCAAACTTTCTTTTTTTTCTTTCTATATACAATTTCAGTTTATTTACTGCTTTGCCCTGGGGGAATCAATAAAGCTTCATCATGATTTATTTTATGAGCAAGACACAAAGAGAAATATTGTTGCGTGAGTGTGAGAAAAATCGTTTATCGGACTCATCTTTGGTTGGCTCACTGTGAGAAATAGAACCTCTTCACGTTTATTGGGGCCCTTAGTGCTAAGAATGTATGAATGTAGTCATTATCACTTCTCCACTGTCCATCCATATGAGTACAGTGTGTTTAACACTCTGTGGTTCAACAAGCTGGAAACATGGTTTGTTAGCAAACATCTGCTTATTCAACACATTTAGCAGATATGGGGCAACACTATAATTCATTAGGAGTCATGTTTCTGGAGACATGGTGAAAGTAACTCCAATATTCACTATATTTTAGCAATGTTTTTTTGGTCTCTAAAAACTCCTGAAGGAAATATCTGTCTCTTTTCGACATTAATGAAAACAACATTAATAAGACGGTAAGAGTAAAAACAGTCACTTTACAGGCGGTTAAACATGGTGAATTCCATGGAAGGCGAGCTGTGGCGTTTGTAGATAAAACACAGCCCATTGGAGCTAACAAAAACACACTGATTCCTATATCCAGGTCATTATATATTAATGAAAATATAGTATATTATATTCCATTTTTGCCAATAGAGCCACCTAAATGTTACACACTGGACTTTTAAATACACTTGTTATTTTTCCTGCACAGGGTTACTGTAGATGAGAAGATCGATATCACTCTCGTGTCTTTCTGTTACATGGCATACTGTATGAAGCTACAGCCAGGAGACTGTTATCTTATTTCAGCATAAAGACTGGAAACAGGGTGAAACCGAGCCCCCAGGAAAAACACTTGATTCTGAAGCCAGTTTGACAAAGTGGCTAAAGTTTATACATCCATGGGTGAAGCAGCTACCCTGACCCAGAAATAGTTTGGCAGACAACCACACACGTGGAACCATAAATTGTCCTGTTTACAGTTGGGTATTTTTAGGGATTAAGCTAATGATAATGTGTTAACAAGAGAGCTATAAAGGTCCTGGTACCTTTGAACAGAACCTTTTCCCCCTGTTTTCAGTCTTTATGCAAAGCTAAGTTTTAAACTAAACGTCTGATAGTTGTAGCTTCACATTGAACCGACATACTGTACATGTGAATGGTATCAATCTTCTCAGCTAAATCTTGGCAAAAAGTGAATAGGCTTATTTTCAAAAAGAAATTCCTTTAATATACAAATATAGATTATAGCAGCTTTAAATACACTGCTTCCTTGTTGCACAGCTGCCCTTTTGGATTCTCAAAGTTCTACTCAAATTTTGTGAGTTTGGCTTAGTGTTTGGAACATATGGAGGGGAAGTTCAGAAGCAGAACATGATGTAGGTATAGTTTGACAATTTTCTAAAAATGTTTTGAGACCCTTTTTTCCATCATGAAACCTTGTCACTGCTGGAATCCACCGCCATGAGCTGAGTCCAAGCTGACCACAGCTGCTGCTCCATGTGAAGGAGGAAATTACAGACCTTTTACAGCCGTGTTCAAACCAAGTGTTTGAGTGTTTGATACTCAAATGACATATTTAGTGTGCAGTATCACTTTAAGGCTAATCCACGGCAGCCAAGAGACTGTTTTGACAGCGTCGGAGCCGAGCAAAAATACCAACAGAAAAGCAAGACTGACTTGATTCATTTTTAATGGAATCACATGATAAAAGTGAAATGACGCGAGGGAAGGAGAGAGAAAGCAGAGGACTGCAGACAACAATATGTACAGTGTTTTTTATGTGTGTCAGCGGAAGCGATGTACAGTATGTGTGTTCCAGCTTGCATGTGTTTCTCTGTAAAAGCAAAAAAGACAATTGACAGACAGTGACGCAGATCATAGGGAAAGGGCTGGAGGAATGAAGTCAGACAGGAATTTCTAGGAAATGATGGCTAGCAAAACAAGAGCAACGTGACTGCATCAATATGAGCGCTGTGCCACTCTTCAGCTGTGCACTGGCACTGCTTTTAGGGGCTTACTTTACCCAGAGAAAATCACATGTCCTGTGTGTGTGTGTGTGTGTCAGAGGCTAAACGGTGACTTTAGGGCCTCCTGTGTACACTGGACTTATAGGGGAGCAATGTTATTATCATGATACAATAACATGCCACAAACAATATTAATGCAACTAGTTGATGTTATTGAGCGTTGATTGCGAGCACAAACAGGAAAGCACAGACACGAAGTTAAAACAGACTTCCTGGCAGGGCTTATTTCTTTCTAATCTCTCCTGACAGTCATCTGGACCAACATAAAGACATCTGTCGGCAAAACCCTGCTCATGTGGATTTATTCTAAGATGACTTTACCCATGGCACCGACTTATAGACTTTTCACTCGGCTTAAAGGAAAACTCAGCGACAATTCATATCTGTTTTTCTACTCCATCCCCCACTGATAATAGCCATTCAATACCCGGTTTGTCTTCTTCTGTTAGTCGGTCATTTCCTGGAAATAAAAGCTTCTGGGTCACAGGAAGTGATGCATTTTATGTTTGGGATTTGTTGGGATTTCATGAAAAACTCTAACAGAAGCAACAGAACAGCAAAAAACTACAAAACAAATTGAACAGACTTACGTTGTTTGTGGAATGTTGATTTAAAGGAATAGTTTTATGTTTTGGGAAATCCACTTATTGGCTTTCTTGCCAAAAGTTACATTTAATCCATACCACTCTTTTGTCTGTTGTCTGTTATGCTGTGTGTGAACTACAGCATATTTAAGAATATTTCACTAAATTAACTATACCTTTGAAAGACTTAGATTTATATGTAGCTTCTCAGACAGTAAGGGATGGTGTTGCCCTTACTTCCCACAATAGTAATAATCAATTACTGCATTATAAATCAATTTAATCCAGAGGAAAAGATGGCAACTAGGAATTACCCCAAACCCCTTATGCATACGCACTCAGCTATCA